GTACCTTTTCCAACACTCAACTCATCTCTATACTGTATTCTGTAATCTAACATGCTCCTATGCACCATCCATACATGCACACCAATCCTCTCCCTCTACACTTGCCGTTTTATTACATTTTTATCATCCATCCTCCTAAACATAATCATTTACAATAACTTCCACCTTCCCATCTTTTAAAGGAAATTCCATTTCCCCCCTTTCTAATTCAAGATATCCCATTCAATTCTCACCTCCCAGTGCAACTTGACCTCACACACAATCATCAATACCAGCATGAAGAATTTTACCCAAACCAGCGCCAAACACGGAGAACATTGATTGAGAGGATGACACCCCCCACCAATTCCGGAGCTTAGAACACTCACTTGAAGCCCACCTTCCATATGTGTAAACTTTGACCTGATGCAAAGATCTATGAGACCCCGGCTAAGGTCAAATTCCCTTCCAAAAGAACCACAATCACTGATCTTGTGAAACGCCCCAAACATCTTGTTGATTATCTTCAGAAATTTCAGATTGAATTGTCTGATCGTGAGAAACGTAACAAACTCATCACCAAAATTCAATCCTCAGCAATCATCCCTCTTCAATTCTCACTCTCACTTGTCTTTCAATTCTTCTCAATCTGTTCTTAGCTCTAAGACCCTGGAAATCATCAATGATCTTTCTAAACAGTTGTATCATTGGCAAGAGAAATCCAAGAAAAATTAGGCCCTTCCTCTGAAACATCTCTACTTGACAAGTTTGCTTTTGGTATTTTATGTATTTACTTCTTTGTCTTATTATTATTTGAATTCTTGGAAACAAAAACACTCCCCTCTTGGCAAGTGGAAAATAAAGTCAATCTGTGCTGAGATTCTTCCTGTGTACATCTGAGCTGGATGAAGATAAAGAAAGAGGGGGATCAGCTTGTGTGGAAAAAATGTTTGGCTGTGGTGGGCACTACCATTCTCATCTTTCCATGATGTGTTTTGGAAAGAGGAACTAAATTTGGTAAAAACAAAAACAGAATGAGAGGGGGGTTATAGTTCACAACATGAGCATTTCTGGAGGAAAAGATGTACCATCCGCACATGAATAATCTTCACTACTGTGTAATAGCTTGTAGATGCTGTGCAAGTTTAGGTGGCCAGAGGTTGCTTTGGGCAAAACTGAGCTGAAATCATAGGAGGTGTCATGAGCAAGAAAAAAGACTTACCATGATGGGAAGCAAGAATTTGTGTTGATAACCCCCCCCCCCCTATTATCATTTGGGAAATGATTTATGATTTATATCTTGTATTGAAGTCAGATGAAGATTTGATCCTGACAAGAAAAGCTCCTTGAGTAAATATGTATTGCCAAGTACTCTTTGAAAGAGACTCCTCAGCACCCAAAAAGTATTATGGGCTACATTGTTGATTTGTTCCTTGAAAGGAAACCTTGCCAGAAAAGATCCCAAAGATTGGAAAAAGGGCCGTGCTTTCTCAATTGATGTGGTCTGCATGACGGTCTCAAATGTGGCCCTTCTATTTCTCTACATTTCCTGACACTTGGCTGTTGTTGGCCATGTTCAGGGACGGAAGCTATCTCAGGATTGAGGTATCATTATCTCTTGAGATCAACTAACTGTTCAGTTTGGGGTGATAATTATGATTATATTATTTGGTTTTTCTCCAGGATTATTTTGTGTATAATTGGAAAAAAAGAGAGATATCAATAGGGGGTATCAAATATACAAAATCCACCATTAGAAACCAGTCAATTTTTCCAAAACTTTTTTTGTATCAATGGGCCCCAGAAGGGGTTAAATGAATAACCAAAATGTTTAAAAAGGGGGTCGGAAAAACGACTCCCAAAAATTGTCCGACAACTCCCGTTTTGGTCAAGGGGTCGTCAGACGGGAGTCGTTCTTCTAAATCGATGGCCGACTTTGGGAGTCGGCCATCCAATTTCTTTTTTAATTTTTTAATTTTAATTTTTTTGATTTTTAGGGAGTCGGCGCCCCAAACCACCCCTCATGCTTGAGGGGGTTTGGGAGTTGCTCGCTCCTATTACAGGAAGAATTTCACTCCGCCCGACGAGAAACAAGAATCTCATTGACCGGAAGTGTTTCTATCAAGACGATGAGATTGTTACCCCTCATTGACGACAGGGGTTCCCTCCCCATCGATGAGATATTACTATCTCATTGACCGGAAGGGATCCTCGTCGACCGGAAGGAAATCCTTCCGTCAATGAGGATGTTAAACCTCATCAACCGGAAGAAATCCCTTCCAATTGATGAGGTATAACTTCTTGTTGACCGGAAGGATTTCCTTCCTTCCGGTCATGGGAGCGAGCGACTCCCAAACCCCCTCAAGCATGAGGGGTGGTTTGGGGCGCCGACTCCCTAATAGAGATGGCGCTCGATACCCGGGTACCTGTAGCCGGTGCGGGTACCTGCCTCAAAAATCCAATATTTTTGACACCCGCACCCGCACCTGCTAGGGCCGCCAGGGGCGGGTACCCGGGTACCTGCACCGGGTACCTGCGGGTACCTGGCACATTTTTGCAGGCAAATATACCCAGAAATCTCACCCTTAAATTTCTGCATGAATTACCAAATGTATGATTGATATTCACTAGATATATGAGTAAGAACATAAAAATAAAGAAATAAAGAAGAACAAAATATCCTATCACTAATTTGCACTTTATCTTCTCTCTGATCTATCATCTTGAAGGCTGGAGGGTTCCCTCTGGCCTCAACAGGCCCATGTAGGACACCAAATGGTGTCCTACATAGTTTGCTGACACCTTTGTGCAGCCCAAAAAGCCCAAAACTGTATTCCCAGGGCGGGTGTCAGGGCGGGTGTCAAGGCGGGTACCCGGGTACCTGCCGTTTTTTGTCCCAAAACTCAACACCCGCACCCGCACCCAGCACCCGCGGGCGGGTACCTGCTCCAAAGAACAGGTACCTGCAAACGGGTACCGGGTACCCGCAAACGGGTACCCATTGCCATCTCTACTCCCTAAAAATCAAAAAAAAAAATAAAAAATTAAAAAAGAAATTGGATGGCCGACTCCCAAAGTCGGCCATTGATTTAGAAGAACGACTCCCATCCGACGACCCCTCGACCAAAACGGGAGTCTTCAGACAATTTTTGGGAGTCGTTTTTCCGACCCCCTTTAAAAAAGGGTGGATTTTCTCAAACCAGTCAATTAAATGATGGTGGATTTGGTTATAATTGATACCCCCTAATAAGATGTGATCTGAGAAATGGAAAACAATGGACAACTTCCAGTCAAAATCTGCAGGTCTCCTGGAGCCAATTTAGAGCCTCAAAATTCAAATTTCTCTGCAAGCATTAAGAGTTTTTGGGTCTAGATTGACTTATGTGAGGGTCCCAGATCCAACGGGAAGTCCTCCAATACACTTCAGGATTGGTAAGTTTATGACTGATTTTATGTTACTTATCATTATCTTTGGATCATGATTGAAAATCATGATACTTGATCATAATGAATCATTAAGCAGAATAAAATAGACAAAAAGAAGAAGAGAAAATCAGTCAAAGGCAAGAAGTTGGGGGGGCTCTTTTGTTTGTTAGGAAGATGATATGTTCTGATGCAGGGGAGGTTCTTTTAAAACAGGGCAGTGTAGCAGCCCCTAAACCCTAGTATCCATAAATCAATACACACATACAGCAGTTCCCAGAAAGCTTGCGTTTGCAAGCTCCTGGGATCCAATTTTTTGTATTTTCTTTTCACTTTTTTTGCACCTTGCAACATGTACACATGACTGTACAGGTTGCAAATCTGCTGTCAAGGCCCCACTAGGCCTTTGGGCACCTGTCAGGTTGCCTGGTGGGAGCTAGGGTGTGGCCAATGTGGTGATCAATTCCAGCTCAAAAAAATGAGAGGAATCCAATGGTCCAACTCCGATTTCTTCAACTTGAAAAATGGGGGAGTTGGGCCATGATGCCTGCAATATTGTGGCTGTACAACTACAAGGCCATGTACAGGACAAAAAAGCAAAGAAAAAGAGTGGCACAAATAAAAAAAATTGGGATCCCAGGAGCTCGCGACAGCAAGCTTTCTGGGAACTGCTGTAGTATGACAGAAGACCAATGAGGTTTGATGAAGGAACTCAAGGTACCTCATCAACCTCATGGAAAAATGACCTTTTTGAAAGGAAGGTGGGGGCCAATGTAAAGGGCCCCTGGCCTTGTTGGTGAGACAAAAAGTTAGATACAATTCAGACCTTTTTACCTGCTCCAAACGGCTGAAAATATTTCCGAGGGGAAGAGGGGGAGATTGCCTGGGCAACTTTTTTCCCTACTAACAACCCCCAGCTTCCAAGCCGAAATGTGGGCATTAGTCACAAGTCCCTCCTTTGGAGGCTCGCTTCGCGAGGGGCGCTTCGCGCCAGCCTGGCACCAGGCCCTCCGATCGAGGGACTTGTTGCCAAGTTGATTTGTATTTGGATTTGGCACACCGGAATCATGAACGGGGTTTTGGCGCGCTCCAAGTACAGCACATAGCGAAAGCGCTATATACAATTCCCGGATGTACCGAAGTCACGCGCGCTTCTGAGGAGGTGGGCAGCTAGTCGATCCCCCTGAGACGAAAGGTCTCTGCGGCCCGGATCTCCTCTACGAGAGGCTTTTGGGATTGGATGTACCGTATCAGCAGCCAAGGAACATTTCGATGCCTGGGCACAAGGAGTAAATGTACCCGACACTTTCCGGACAAATTAAGTCCATAGAGATGAATCTTGGCACAGCCGGACTGAAACCTTTCTTGGAATCCGGAAGACATGCAAAAGACTAGTAGCACACCTGGAAGAATTTCTTGCGGGACGACTCGGAAGAGCCGCTGAATTGAACTGGTAGCTGGTATTCACTTACGACAATGCCAGTGGAGCCGAGATTAAAAGAACTCTCGGTCCTCCCTTGGGCAGGAGGTCAGTCGACCGCAGATGTAGATCATGATACAATGGACCAGAGGAGCAGAACTCTTGCGGGGTCTCTGGGAAAGATTCTCGTTCATCTTGTAACTTAGTGCTTGAGACTCAGACAGACTTGATTGTTTGATGGCGATTCCATGCTTTGATTTACGCCATGCTGGGATTCTGTGCAATATTGCACCATAAAAACCTCGCACCAAAGGGTCTAACTGCCGATGCACCCTCATTGTATCAGAAAACAGTTCTCACCTCGCTATTCAACAGATCTACTTGTTTTTATTCGATTTGTCAAGCTCGAAGAGCCATGACGGGCTTGAAGCGAGGTAGCTTACAAGTTATTTACGTTGTTTTCTTGCTGGGCAATGTGCAGTGGAGCCGCCTTGGCGTAGTTTCAGTTGAGCCCAGCGAAATCACCGACCTCAGGTCTACCCAGCATGAAGTTCCATCGCTAGTTCATCGTTTTGATGCCCAGGACCACCCTACTGATGTGTGTCCAGAAGGCAGAACCAAACTCCAAGGAGACTTTCAGCCAGATAGAATCCCGTCTTGGCATTGTCATAAAGCTCTAGAATCGCTCCCTGAGTCCCATGAGTAAGTTCGATTGATTTCGCTTTAATGAATTAGACGCAAATATTTGGTCATCGGGGCTTTTATGTGCCAAAAATAAACTTGACTGGATTGTGATTTGATGAAAATCAATCAGGCAAAAAAAACATAGCCGTTCATCAAACGCATACGCTCTGAACCATGCAGAACACGATGCTGAAATCAGGAATGTCTCTGGCAATCCCCAGGTAGCCGAGGCAAACAAGGAAACAGCAAAGTGAGATACGACCTCTGTGTTCTAACCAAATTCAATTAACCTTTGCTAACTTACGCTCAACTACTCGTTGGTGTAATTTGTGTTAGTCCGGTAGGTTTTGACCGTCCTTTCGACCCAAATAGCGGAGTTGTCTTGGCAAATGAACAGTGCTTCGGTGTGGCATCTTCAGGCCCTGAAGCTGTCGGTGTTCCGAACACAGAACCTATTAGCAGCAGTATTAACACCAACCAAAATACTAAGAATTGGAATTATAAAAAAACAAGACATCTTCCTCAGAGTAGAGGAGAAGCTCCGGGGCTCGTTGCGAAATCCGGCCAAAATACGCATTCTGCTTATCACCCCATCTACAATAAGCCACAGGCTCCCAACACAGGAATCCACTTGCCCAGCTCAGGCTACCAGGCGGCAAATGACCCTCAAGGATATCCAACCACTTACTACCCCACAAGTTATCAGCATTTGGTTTCGGATCAATCATCTTGGAAGTACCAATTGCATTGTGTGGAATTCTGGGAGCCTCAAGTTACCTACCATCTACAACGAGGGTTAGCATATATACCGGTTCATGTGTTCAAAGATTCAGCTGTTCCTTCGGCTATTCCGGCTGTACATAACAGACTAAATGCCCACGCCCCGTTGTCACACCCTACAAACCATGCTTATATCGGGGAGAGCACTGGAAACACTATACCCGGAAGTGGGCAGATTGGAGGAAAATTGTCAATTCAAGCGGATGGCAGAGCTGACAAGCCTAAGGAATCTTTCATAAATTACAGAAAGCATCAGAGGAATGAGTAAGTCTATACATTTTAGGTGACTTATTTCTTGATATCTAAATATAATCTCTGAAACTCGATTGTTTGTATTCTTTCACACTTTCCCTCAGAGAGGTGGATCAAGACAGCAGGATACCGTCTGCGTGTAAATCTAATAACCAAGTCAACTCGGATACTGAAAAGGAAGCAGCACTGGAAAACCCCAAATCAAGATCTTTGCAATCCCAATTTGATTCAAACAATGCGGCCAAGGAAACAATCGTATTACCTGATGATTCTGTTAATGTTACAAATGATTCGCATCCCGAATCACATTACAGCTCAGAACCAAAGACACCATTTATCAAGAAAATGAACGAAAATCCACCAGTAGACTTAGATTCACTTCCAGGATCAAATCATAATCCCAACACCAGTGAAGAAAATACAGAGGAAGCTGATGGGATTCCGCCAGAAGTCACAGACTCGGTGAATACAAAAATTCCATGCAAAACGCGCACAAATGTGAAAAAGATGTGCAAAGATTTACAGCCTCAAACTCCTAAGCCAAAAGTAGGAGCAGGCTGGGATGTTGCTTGTGATGGTGTTACCAAACATAATAAAATACAAACTTCACAAATCCCCGAGTCCAAGATTGTGGCTGGAGATCAGAAAACAACTGCAAATCAAGATTTTTCCAAAGGTAAGGGATCAGAATACCCCAAACAAGTTACTTCACCATCAGTTTTGACCACTGAAGTCCTTTCCCATCTTGGAGCAACATTGGGAAGAAAACTCAATCATCAGCCAACTACTGAACAAGTAGAACATGTAGCCAAAGATGAAAATTCACATCTACATCTTGAGTTGCAAAATGAAGAACCCAAAAACTTTGAAAAATCTCACCTTAAAACTCACCATTCCACAGATCTAAATCCAAAGGCATATGAGGGAAATATTCAAGTGTCTGGTGTTGATAAATCACATTTGACTTGGAAAGTTTCCCCTATCTTGAAGGATAATAAGTTTGCAGTGTGAGTAATCCAACCTACACACCACAATGGCACGTTAAATTTTCCCACATTCTTCAGAAGTTGATGCAAACTGAAATTTGTTCCTCTGAAAAATATTTTTTAGTCTTGAAAAGTTAGACCACAATCCAGTTCTTGATGAAAAAAATAAGTATGCTGCACCACTTGTGGAAATTTCAAATTTGCAACAGGACAGTGCAGAATTTCAAGATGGAACAAGAAAAAATGAATCAGTTTCTTCTTATGCACACATCCCTTATATGAATAAACCAAAAGTAGTTATAAATTCTGCCATAGATTACATGAGACCTATGCTCAATTTGGTTTCCAATGCATGGCAAAAGATTCCTAGATTGGAATTGTCAATTAAATCACTTTTTTCATCAAGGAAAAAACTTTTACGGAATTCCAGTAACAATTTAAATTTTCTGCCGATTTTTAATTTCATGAAAATCTCAAGAGGAAAACCTACACAGGGTTTTTTGAGGAAAACAACTCATGACCAAAATCACCCAGAGCCCTTTCCAGATTTTGTGACTACTGAATCAACAAAAAACTTCCAAAGAGAAGAAAAACAACCAGGTTCTGCAACAACTTATTGGAATCCAGATCTTAAATCAAAAAGTTCATCAGGAGTTTTGAAATCAAATTCAAGGACCAGCTTACAAGAGGAATATCATTTTCATGCAAAATTTGGGATCCATGCTGGATACATGGTTTCTTTTGTTGAAGAATACAGACACAAAAATCCTGGAACTAAGAAATTTGAGATTGAATTTTTATTGGCACTTCTTAAGTTCATGAAAGCAGAACATGTGGGGGGTTACATTCCAATTGAATTAGATGCAGAAGATTCAGATTATAAAACCTTAGAGCAATTCATTCTTCAAATGAATGTAAATCCAAAGGAAGGGAAAAAATTGAAATGTGTCATTGAGAGGATTGGTATGATTGAAGGCAAGAGAAGATGGAAAGCGGTTATCAGACAATACAATCAACAAGAAATTTTGTGGAAATGGGCAGAAATTAATAAAAAGGGTCTTTCAATTAAAAAAAAGCTAGAATTGAGAAAATTGGATAGGGTTCTGAAAATAAGTAAACCCTGGCCCACATTTTATGGAGTAAAATCCAAAGATTATGAGTTGTTGGAAAATTTATTGAAGGATGAAATGGTCAAAAAAGATATTCTTGGAATATTGGGAGAAGAAGAACTAGAATCTAGGTTGCATCAAATTTTTGTCATTTCAATTTTCTCTACCAACCCCAGATACTTGGATGCAGGGGACTGGGAAATAGTCTACAAACAAGGGCTTGATTTCATTCGTATCCTTGCTGTTGCTCATATTTTGCATCTTGATCGGGGGGAATCAAACATTGAAAGTTCAAATTTGGTGACTCCAGATAGTGAAATATATTTTTCACTGCTTGGACTTTGGGAAGTAAAAGAATCAGCACCATGGGGCCTTTCAGCTGAAAAAATGTGGCTTCTGAGCAATCCAAAAAGAGAGACAATCTACAATGAAACATACTCAAATCTGAAAGAAAAATGGAAATATCAAAAGTTATTGCCTAAAGTCATCCTTGAGAACTTTCCAGAAATATACCCAAATAAAAAAATGATGGCCAAAAAGAATAAATTTGGAAAAAAAGTAGTATTGGATGTATGGTGGAATTTATCAGATCTAATAGAATGGCAAGAATATCATATGGATAAGCTTACAATGGTAAGGGTTGGTGAACAATTAAACATTCCAACAACAAGAGACAAAAAAATAAATTTAGACAGGTTGAGTGAAATTTTGAACAAAAAATCAATACCAGAAGGTAAGGAAAACATCATGAAAGAATGGTTTGAAAGAAATGCATTCTCACCATACCTTCATCCATCTCATGATGAATGGTCCAAAAATTTGCCTGCTGAATTTCAAAATTAATGGAATTGAATTTTGGTTGTATGTGCATTATTTTTTCTGAGAATACATTAGCCTTTTTTGTTTTTGTAAGAGCTTTAGAATCTTTGAATATGAAGGTTTCTCTGGTGAGATCTGAACACATAATGCAGCACTGGGCCAGATATGCTAACAATAGCATTAGCGTAGAATAGCGTTGTGACATTCCACTGAAATCCAGTGTAGCACAGCAGAATTTCGCCCCATCTGTACTCATCACAGGCCCCAATAATCCACCCACTACTCTGTGCTACAGAGCTGGTTAGTGGCAGTGGGATTATTTTAGGGGTTTGATTGTATAAATTTATAAGTGGGAGCCCCAGGATCAATCCCATTCCCACCAAAATAACCACACCTTCAATACCTGCAACCCCACAAACCATTAATGTCATAAAATGGGAGGACTTGCCATCAATTCAGAAAGAGGGAAAAAAACAAATTGACAATTCACTTTTCTGATCAATTCTAATTGCAATGGAAAGTACTTCTCCATTGTTCAAATGTTCTGAATTTTGTTTTGCTCCATAAGTAAACACAAAGAATGTAGGAGAAACTCGTAGTCTGCTTCCTACATACACATTGTTTTGTCCAAATAACCACAGTATACCTATTTCATTTGGCAAGTGAAAGGTCAAACCATATTGGCAATCAAACCAAACTCAGTGCAAAGATATGGAATATATGCTTCTGTATACTGACTGAAAACTAAATAAAAAAACTTTTATTAAAAGTCTTGTTACCTGGTAAGTTTTCTTGGGTTAATCATATTTGGTGTGCCGGACATGGATATACTTGATTGCAGGCACGGCCCCATGAACAGATTCTGCAAAGAAAGAGTCAAGATACTTGGTCATCGGGTGAATGACTTCATCAGTTTTGAATGGCTGAATATTTGGCATAAACAAATACGTAAATACCTCAGTTATGACTTTGGTGCTGTACAGGACGACCTCGGAAGCACTTGTGCAGGAGGTCGTCGCGCAGCGATCTCCTTCGGAGTGACTTGTCTTGCGTTTGGATAGTGCACAACAGAAGCATCGGGCCAGCTCCTCTGGCTGCTTCATGTGCTATATAGTACTAATTATCAAGCGTTTTTATCTGGACGTCTTTATCGCCTTTGTCCCGATCGATTACTAGTCAAACCATGATCACCGGTTTCCCACGGGCACTTTGCAACGTTCTCTTGCTGGCCAGTCAGCTTCCAACCAGCTTGATTCGGCTTGAGGTGGTTGCGCCACTTCCACCAAGTGACATCGAACGCACATTGTCAGGCGGGTTAAGCACAGCACCAAGCTTAGATTCCACCCACGTTGATGTTCCAAAGACTGTTCACGAGGTCGTCAATCACGAGCAAAAACTCAAGAGGGAAAGTCGCGAAGAGTTGCAGCCTGCTGATGGCCTGGCTATGGATTACGGAAAGCTCGTAAAAGAGCCCCACCAAATGTAAGAATAATTCATCCGGCTAGACTCTCTAATTGACCCGTAACCTGTGGCCCTCGAGGTTTACGCTGGAGCTCATGCTGACTGGAGTTTGATTGTGTATAACTGGATCAGGAAAGATAACTTTTCTCGTTCATCGAGCGCGCATTCTTCAAAGCTCACAGAAGGTCAACCCGAGAGTGACGTGAGGAGAGCCATCGGTATGCTGAAGTCAGCTGAGACGAACGAAGAGGAAGCAGCGTTAGTTTCGACTTCTATCTAATACTCAAGTCTCCTATAATCCTAACGTAGAACAATTCGTTTTGTCCACGTTAATCTAGTCCGATGAGTATCACATCCGTTGTCCCTGATTCCAACAGCGAAGAGGGATCGCCGAGCATTAAACAGAGCGCCAACCCGGTCGCTTTAAACCCCAAATCCGACATGTGTTCAGACCCAGGACCTTTGTGTGGCAAGAATGGCATGCAAAATACTGAGAATGGAGAGGTTCAGCATGGCAAACAGCCTCAACATCATCCCGTATCAAATGGATTTATGGAAATTGAGAACGTTGGCCCACGCTCCCCCATCCTCGGTCACCCTCTGCCTAGCTCGCATGACCAATTGATCACAGATTCTCAACAATATCCTCATGTTGATCGTAATCTTCAACATTATCCCTCAAGCTACCAGCCTCTAGTTCCAAATCAATCATCTGTACCATTGCAATTGCATTACATTGATTACTTGGTTCCTATAATAGCTTATCAAGTGCAACGGAGGATAGGCTATCTTCCTATGGCGCAAAATGCAAATCCTTCAGGCATCCCATCTATCCACGATGAAGCCTATGCTCAGAGTCAAACTCAAGCATCGCACTCGGCATACCCTAGCCACTTTGGGCAGAGATCTGTGGACAATCTGTCAGGCAGTAGTCAAGATAGTACAAGGACGTATGGTTCAGGGCGTTTCAGAGGTACCAAACCGCCAACGCGTCTTATACCACCCAGATTGAGACGGCTAAATAAGTGTGTCGCTCGCTTGAGAATTGATTGCTTTACCAATGGCCTATGTATCCTCGTTTGCTAATCGCGAAATCTCTGACTCTTTGGTATCTTCCCTCAGAGATGTGGGACAACAGAGCACAGCACCATACCAGTGGGTAGCTAAAAATCAAGCTGGATCAGCCACTAGCAACAATTTCAACATGAAAGAAAAACACGATGAGCGCACATCAGAGGATTTGCATTCTGAAAGTGACTCCACGTCTAATGAGGCTAACCCAACGCCCAACCTTCCTAAGGTTTCAAATAATTCTCTGGATGGTTTAGTTAGTATGCCAAAACATGATCCAATGACCAGCAAGCCGTCTCTTAAGATGATTGATGAAATTTTGCCGGGAGACCGGCAGGCTGAAAATGTGCAAACACGTTCTTTTTTTAATAAGCTTGATACCATTTCCCAGGTTACATCTCCCCGACCAAAATTTGTTTCCAAGAAATACGCAGAAACTCTTGAGGTTACAAGGAAAGGGCAGCCGACAGGGCTACAGTCTGCTGACTCCACGTGTGAAGCCCGAGCGCATGGGACTCTGAGCATTGGAAGGACAAACAAAGCTTTGAATAAGCAGCTTCCTACTCCAAAAGGACGAAGTCGAGTAATCCATGAGCCAGAAAAAGCAAGTAACGAACCTGCTCAAGTTCACAAAGTCACTCCATCCCGGCTTGAAAAAATTGTAGCCGATTCAAAAGAAGTGAAAGAGCCTTCGGGATTCAGAAAATCTCAGGAACCAGCTGTATATCTAGGCAATTCCAACGTAATTGGATTAGCACCTCCAACACATATTCCTGCAGGTTCAGTGCTAGCCGATGAAGGCTCTACCAATGATCCCATCAGCTTGACGAAAGATAAGGCTCAAGAACCAAGAACAAGTGTCCAGCAGTCACCTAGGGAAGAAAAACCACATCCCGATCTTGAGTCGCTAGCTCAGACCAAAATCGCCGATGGGAAAACCCCGGAAGGTGAGGTTGTACATCCAAACAAAGATGTGTCGATTACTCAAGAAGTTGGGGGTAGAGAGACACTGCCAGACCTGAGGAATCGGGATGGTACTCCAGTTCCGCGGGATAATAAGTTTGCAATGTGAGTCGTCCAATCAGTCTGCCGCAACGTCTTGAAAATCTGGCTGAATTATTATTTTTTTGCACTTGATTCATTTGGATTGATCATTTATACGATGGTGTGCATCTCCAGTCTCGATGAGATAGTCCATGAAGCTAGTCATGTGGCGGAGCCTAAGGCGGCTGAGAAACGTGTGAAAAAGAGGAAACCTCACAAGGGAAGCACAACTTCATCCCATGAAATGAGCGGCTCGGATCAAGTTGCTACTGCTTCAAAAAAACCTTTGGATCCCCAAGTCGTCGTAGCTTCCACTGAAACCTCCCTCGGATCGAAAAAGAATGTAATTTTCAATCTATGGGACAAGGTTCCGAGGCCTCTAGTATCAATTCCATCTTTGAGTCTTTTCATGTCTTCAAAGGCCAAGTTTTTTCCGAATGCCGTGCCCCATTTTCCTTCCTTTGCCCAGAGAATATCAATTTTGAATTCTATCAAAAGCATTAAATCCAAATTATCAAATGTGGTTGGAAGGGTGATACGATACAAAAGCCCCCAAGTGTCTGCTCATTCCAGACAAAGTCCAGCCAAAGAAATACCATTAGAAAATAGTAAAACCATCAAGGGAAAAGATTCTTTGGATTCAAATTGTTCTTCCACACCACGTTCTCCGCATTTTTTGAGTGATAAATCTCCAAGTTCATTCAAAGAATTCAAGACACCTCAGGATGTGAATCCGGGTGGAAATTTAGAAGTGACCCCTGAGGGCTTAAGCATTCCATCAAATAAAAACAAAAGAAAAGGGAAAGAATTGTACCATGAACATTCAGCAACCATTGAATCCAAGCCGACTTATGTCAAGGATTACTGTCAGAAATATCGGGGCAAACACGATGAAGGTGAAATCGAGTTGCTAGAAACACTTGGAAGACTTCTTCAGGCAGACCAAATTGGGTATAGCACCATAATCAAAGTGAACCCTTCAGATTCAGATTATGAATTCTTGAGAAAATTTATGTTAGAAATACACAAAGAACCAACAGAAGTGAAACAGTTGAAATGGTTAATTGGCAGAATTGGGAAGATTGAGGGGAGAAGAAGATGGGAAGCAGTTGTGAGGCAATACAGGCAACCAGAGATCCTGAGAAAATGGAAAGAAGCTCAAAATACTGTGGCACTTACTGCAGGTCTGATTCTTGACAGGGCTCTCAAGATCAGTGAACCATGGCCCACATTTTATGACGATCAGAATGAAGATTATGAATGGGTTATTAATTCCATCAGAGGTAATCCCAAAAATGAGAGGCTTTTGTTTGATATATTAGGAATAGAAGAACTAAATCACAGACTGGAAGCCAGACTTATCATGAAGGGGAAAAATGGGGATCTTGACAAATGGTTGCCCAGAACTGAACTGAAAATAGCTTATCAACAAGGTTATGATACAAACCGCATTCTCTTGATTTCAAATATTTTGCAGCTTGGTACAAGGTACTTTGAGCCTGTAGAGATACTTGGGGTGGCTCTGTATCACACAGAATTCAGACAGTTGTTTAACAATTGGGGAAGTAAAAGATTTGGTGCATGGGGCCCTTCAGTAGAGAGAATTTGGCTGATCAGTGATCCAAAAAGGGCAAAGATCTACAAGGACAGATATGAAAATCTGAAACAAATATGGAAATATCAAGACTTATCTCCTGAGTATCTTCTCAAATTATGTGCTGATATTAGAAAAAGCCTGGATCCAAATAAAAGATCTGAGAGGAAGAACCCATTTTCCAAAATCGAATCATCAGAGGTATGGTGGAACTTATCAGATATGATTGAATGGCAGGAATATGACATGGACCTGCTCACCATGGTCAATATTGGCATTAAATTGAAAATTCCACAATTGAGAAATCTAAATTTAAATGAGGATGATTTGATCAAAGGTTTAAATGAAAAATCAATCCCAGAAGAAAAGAGGTTAATAATGAGAAAATGGTTTGAAGACAATTCCTTTTCCCCATATGAAGGTACTCTTCTAGGGTCATGGTACCCCATTGATTGCAAAAATCCTCCAATTTTGGATGAAGACCCCTCCATGCATTATGAAAATTCTAGAAGCCTGTTGGCCAATTTTGTCCCCAACTTTAAAAAGATATTATCTGAAGTTAAAGATTTTTTGTTATCACGATAGAAAAACAATAAAAATTACCTCAGATTTGTGCATACACTTCTCTGTAAGAATCCGATTCTCTATTGAAATATGTTTTTATTTTTTTCAAATCAATCAGTATACCTGTGTTATTTGTGTGAATTTCAAGAAAGAATTTTGATGAAATATGATGTGTAAACTTCACATCAAACAGAGGTTTCATGTGGAGTGAGGATGTTATAGGCAGGGAGCCATAACCCGGGTATCGGGTAGGCCCTCGGGTACCGGCTAGCTGTACAG